AAAGCAAGCCAATCCTTCTTCCAGTGATCAGAGTCACTCATCAGCATGTAGCAGACACTGATTAGTTCATTCAGCATCCTCCAAACCCCTTCTTGTCCTATGGAACCTGAGAGCAAAACCCAATCAAACTCACTACATTTTTCTGACTAATTGTTAATGGGGGAGGTTCTGCTTGCAATCTGACCTCCATCAAGGAAACAACCACAGTGACTTAACAGCAGCAAGCAGTGTGAGATTGGTGTTTTGTAAGTGTCAAGTGGCAGAAGTGGGCAAAGTGAGGTTTCTCCTACAGCAGCCTCAAGCTGAGCTGTTCCTACTTCCCATACTTGATTCCCTTCTCACCCCTACCCTGAAATTCAGTAAGTTATCTAATACCCAACCACAACCCCTTTTCTGCTTAAATTAAATAAAGCAGATACAATTGTCTGAAACAAAGAATCCCAACCAATACTCTGAAAGGGCAAGTATTTTTAATTTCTACAGTTCCAGCCTATGAATTTTGATCTGATCATACAAATTACACTATGTGTGACTATAGGATAAGCACTGAACTGTTGGCAGTTCGAATCCACTAGATACTCCTCAGAAATTCTATACTGTTAAGTGGTGTCTAGTTGAAAACAACTAGACAGTACTTAGTAATAATGAGCTAATATTTACTTGGGTGATTAAACAATAAATTCAAGCATTTGTTTTGTTGCTGTTAGATGCCATTGAGTCCACTAAGATTCACTTACCATAGATACAACTGAACAAAACACTGCCAGATCCTCCATCACCCTCCCAATTGCTTTGTTTATGTTTGAGCCCATTGTTGCTGCCATTATGTCAATCCATCTCATTGGCGTCTTCCTCATTTTGATGACCCTCCACTTCACCTAGCATGATGTCCCTCTCCAGGGACCAAGTCTTATCATCCTTGCTTGAGAACAGCATTCTGGCTCTACTACTTCCAACACAAATTTGTCTGTTCTTCTGGCACTCCATGACACTTAATATTCTTAAAATTCAAATACATCTATTTTTTTTGCAATCTTCTGTATTCATTGCTAATTTTCACATACATATGAGGCTATTGAATATATAATGGCTTGGGTCAAGTGAGCCTTACTCCTTAAACTGACAAATCCTGACAGTATTTATATACATTTTGAATAAATGTTCTGTGTTCTATGCAACACACCTAGGGGAAAGGACAGTAAAAAAAATCAAAGGTTTACAACAAGAAGAATCTAATCTTCTCAATAAACCTGATTTACCAGTATGTCATTCTTATAAATACTCAAATTATGATAGTACTTTCAAAGGAAACAATTGAATCTGGACAATAACGTCACCTATGGCTCTCTTCTCAACATTATAACTAATTTTTTTTTGTTATGATTAAATTATACTTATTACTTAATTTTTTAACTTATCCTGGATAAATATCTGGATTTGTGGCTAATAAATTAAACAGTTCATTTATGACTCTTCCAAGACCTGTGAGACATTAGATGTGACCAAGCTTGAGAAGCTGAGGGAACCCAATCCGTCTCACACTTTTTATAAAACTCAAAAGTACAGTTCTAACAAAAAATAAGTATGGCATTTAAAAAAAAAAAAGACTCTTAAATGCTATGTCTTTGACTGTACTTAGGCTAGAAAAGGAGCTGTACCTGGAGATTGATCTCTGCCTCATAGAAGGTTAGGCATGAGCAGTAATGACGATCTGAGTCAATATCCGTTAGGACCACCACAAAGAATGTTGGCTGTTTCCTCTCTCTGGATAGCTGCCACCCGCCAGGCTGACAAAACTAAATGGGATGAAAAATTAAAAATAAATTATTTTAAAAATATAACAAAAACTTATTACTCATTTACTTTTGGAAAATGTTAAATGTTCCCCCATTAAGAAGAATATTCTAGCTGATATGCAAACTACTTCAGTCAACTTTAAAAAATGTTTTCACGTGGAGATTCCTAAAACCAAAATCTTTCATTGATGTACATATATGGTTTATGAGCACAGCCTAGAGTTTGCACACTCATCTGGAGACTTAGGTTAGCAAACAAAGGAAAATAACAACAAAAGCAATAGATGTTTTCTACCACTATGAACAACAAATGAATTAGGTTAAAGATAAAGTGCACGGTATCTATCACCTGATGGAAAACATAGCTATTTAAAATTTTTTCTCATGAATCTTAGAATCTTAAATACTGTGCAACAAAAAGGGTATGTTCATGAGCAATATTGCTCATGAGAAATGGAACTGAAACAGGAATGAGCTCACCAGTCCTCTATGCCAAATTACCTTGAGTGACACTGTACTATAAGCACTGGACTACAAACCACAAGGTCGGAGGTTCAAACCCACCAGGCGTTCCTTAGAAACCCTATTCATGGTTGTGACTCGATGGCACTTAACAACAACAACCTGTTAACAGAGTGGCTTATCAGGTAAGCTTATATAAGTTAGTACTCAGAGCAGTCATTGGCACATACTTTACTGTCTATAAATGTTAGCAATTATGATTAGTAACCCCTTCGATTCAGTCTTAGTATCTATTACCATATCTCTGACACTGTTTTTCCCTTCTGTACTGACCTTTTCTAAAACCTGCCTCTCATTTCACTGCCTTATTTCCCCTCATGTGACTCTAGAGAGACATTAGAAAATAAAGATGTGGATGGTTTCTATATTTGGGGAGAAACATTATGTTCACGGCTTCTCTGAAAAATTGAAAAATTCTATCAGATGCATTTCTTTAAGCACACATCATAAAGAGAAATACATGAAAAATGCATGAAATAGCAAATAAGTGAAAACATTTCTGTTCACAAGATTTTTGTTTAAAAATGTGATTCAAGAACTATTTATTAATCACTTAAACCCACTGTCATCAAGTTGATTCTGAATTAGAGTGACCCAGCACAGGGTTTCTGAAGCTGTGAATCTTCATGGGAGCAGAAAGCTTCGTCTTTCTTCCATGGAGCAAATGGTGGCATTCAACTGCCAACATGGTGGTTAGCAGCCCAGTGCTCGTCCAGCAATGTTACCAGGGTGTCTACTAACCACTTAAGTGCTCTTTTATGAAGTCACTCTAAAACTCTCTGGTTTCTCCACTCCCTCCAGATCAAAGAATCAGGTGTCTCCACCCCCTCCATGCCGCTAAATGACTTCTGCATATTTTTATTGCAATAAATGCACTTAATAATACTTTCCTCCTATATATTCCCTTAGCACTTCTTATCTATTCTACTAATCGGGCATAGAAAAACTGCCCTTTCATTTTCCCTCTCATTAATTGTGTATGTGTCTTAACAATCCATCTATACTAAGATCCAAGGAGCTCTGGTAGCGTAGGGGTTACGAATCAGGCTGCGAATCTTAAGGTCAGCGGTTTGAAACTACCAGCTGCTCCGCGGGAGAAAGATGAGGCTTTTTACTCCCGTAAAGATTTACACCCTTGGAAACCCTATACAGGGTCGCTATGGGTCGGAACCGACTCGACGGCACCTAACAACAACAACATACTAAGTTCCAGGTCACTGTGCCTTAGGCTTAATTGTGACCACCATAAGCCTTTCCTTTCCCCTCCAGAACAGCAGTTCTCAAAGTGTGGTACACAGAATCACATAAGTCTCCAAGTGAAACTATTATCTGTAACATAATATTCATACATTAGTTGAATCTTTCGCTTTGTTGACATTTACACTGACGGTGCAAAAGCAACAGTGGATAAAGCTTAACAGGAATCAAAGCAGTGCACCAAACTAGTAGGTGTATTCTTCAAAACTGTGCATTTAAAAAAAAAAAAAAATGTTCTTAAGTCAGTTACACTTAAGAAGGTTCTTGATGAAGTAATAAACTTTAACTTGATCCTTGAGCACACAATTTTTACAAAATATTCTGTGTTTCAAAATAGTAAGTACAAATTAAAGCACTTTTGCTACATGTGGAAGCATGATGGCTATCTTAAGAACACTTGTGCAATTGTTTAAGCTATGAGCTGAACTACCTTTTTTTTAAATAAACATTGTTTTACTTGAAAGGATAATTGAAAAAATTTGGTTATATAGACTTTTGCATTTGGTAGGCAATTTTCAAAGTAAACATTACTTCAAGATAAAGATTTAAGAGCATTTGTTACTTATGACAAAACGTACACTTTCAAGAAATATTGTGAGCCTGACAGCTTTGCAATACTTTTAAGATTTTCTGATGTACAATACAGTAATGCTAATTAATGTGACTGAAAATATTATGTAATAAAATGTATAAAAATTTATTAATATCTGCATGTCACTCAACTTATAGTTTCCAAATAGCCAATGAATAACAATCAAAATTATGTATAAAAGAGTCACTCAAAGTACAAGGCAGACAAATAAGTCTTTATGTAAGGTAGTATATAAAGTTCATTGATGTGGCTACTAATATACATTGCAACTGAACTTAAAAAAAAAAAAAAAAAGTGAAAGGCTTTAAAAATACTCCTCCCTTCCTCCTTTTTCCAATAATACATTTGGGAGACATGATTTTCTTCATATAATTCAATCAAAACAATACTGCACTAAATGCAGATGCAGATATATGAGAATCTAGCTATCTCCTATTAAGTCACAGATCAAGGATATTTACAAAAATGAAAAACAATACCAGTTTTTTCTGTTTTGGAAACTACTTTTTATCATGTTGTTGTGGTTAAGTGCTGTCGAGTTGATTCCAACCCATAGCGACCCTGTACAGGGTTTCTGGGGCTGTAAATCTTTATGGGAGCAGAAAGCCTCATCTTTATCCTGTGAAACAGCTGGTCGTTTCAAACTGCTGACTTTGAGATTAGCAGCCTGATTCATAACCATTACGCTACCAGAGCTCCTTAGTTTTTAATCATAAAATATGTTATTTAAGGTAACATGTTTTTTGCTATTATTTTTAAATACATTAAAATAAATTTAGTTGTAATTTTCAGTATTGTTAATCGATAGGCAATAAAAATAAAATGCTTTGAGGATCTTAAATAATTTGTAAGACAAAGTATAAGAAAAAATTGCTGTTAACTAGTCTAGGCTTAAACCTCTTGGGTAACAAAAACTATAATCCTCAGTAGATTCATGGAGCTTCATCAGGTTACAACAATACTTCTATGTTTCTCTCAAAGTCTGCTTCCTTTCTCCCAACAAATTTATTTCCTGAATGAAGTACCCAAAAATAAAATAAAATAATAATTGCTGTGGAGTCTTTGTCAATCACGGCAACCTCATGTGTTACAGAGAAGAAATAATCCATAGGATGTTCTTAAATGTAAAGCCTTGGAAACCCTACACAGGGTCACTATGAGTGGAAACCGACTCGATGGTACTTAACAATTTTTACGGAAGTAGTTTACCTGGTCTTTCTTCCATGAAACTGTTAGGTAACCTCAACACCAGCCTTTAGGCTAGCACCTGATCAGAAACCACTAATGCCACCCAAGTATATAATCTTTTAAAATGAATTTCAAAACGGGAAAGAGGTATCTAAGCTTGAATTATAAAGATTGAGTCAGCAGCATTACCTGCTTAATAAACTGCCTTTGTGATACAAAGGGAGTGCGGTGAGAATAGACTAACTATAAGGCTGGCAGCAGTTTGAAATCAGCTCTGCAGGTGGAAAGATTATTGTTCTTGTAAAAATTGTTGTTGTTAAGTGCTTTCAAGTCAGTTCCAACCCATAGAGACCCTGTATAGCGTTTCCAAGGAGTAGCTGGTGAGTTTGAACAACCAACATTGCAGTTCAAATGGCTTCTCAGTCTAGCGCATTAACCACAGCACCACACCAGGACTCTTCTGTAAAGATTACAGCCTAGGGAATCCTATGGGGCAGTGCCTCTTTACCCTATAAAGGGGTTGTGTGCGTAGGGCTTGACTCAACGGCATACAACAACATATAATCATGTAGAAATTGATTATTAAATTTGGTAAATGATACTAAAAGCAATATACAACAGTATGACAATTGCGTATTTTCATAAAATTTTTAATTAAATTCTAAGTTTTTAATAAGGATTAAGCTAAATCTCTTTATATTAATTTCAAGTCTATCAAATATACTGACTTCTTAAAATGGAAGTTACCTGTCATAGGCAAAGTTCACAAATAAGAAAGTAATTTTTCATAGTCAAACAGATCTACTACTGAAATGACTCGTCTGATATTTTGTTGATTAAAATGAGAAAAAGCAGATTTTTATGTCTTTACTTTCTGCAAACCCTTTTTACATATGCACAATGAGAAAAACATAGACTAGACAAAAATGTACATGGCATGACTGTCATTGAATAACCTCTGCAAGGATAATGTTGTTAAGTACCATCCAGTCGGTTCTGAATCACAGTGAGCCTCTATTAGGGTTTCTAAGGAGTGGCCGGTGAGTTTGAACTACTGACCTTGTAGTTCAAATCAACCTACAGTCCAGTGCCTTATCCCACAGCACTATACCAGGACTCTAATAGTCACTGATAATATTTCCCAACACCATCATCACATCCATAAATATATAGCTCAATGAGTCTTTAAACAGAAAAATTTAATGTGTCCTTTATTTCTCTTAAGGTCTACAATAAAATCCCTATTCTAGTAGAAAACTGGAGTCCTGGAATGGCACAATAGGATAAGCACTAGACCTCTAACATCAAGGTCAGCAGTTCAAATCTAGCATCTGTTCCTTGGAAACCCCATTACAGGGTTTGCTATGTGTCGGAACTGACTCACCAGCACTTAACACCACCACCACACCAAGGGAAAATTATAAACATAGAATCAAGAAAG